ACAGATGTAAAACCCTGCATCTTTGAGCCGGACTGGACTGAACACAAGGTCTGGGGAGGAGCTGTTATGTACCTGAAGGGTTGCCTTAGTTATGTAATTCATGTGAATGACTGACAGTTATTTATGTTGCTTGCTTGCAATGTTATACATCTACACACCTCTTCCGTTTTCTTAAACCACTGGAATTGCACATGTGAAGCACCAACAGCATAACAACTGAGACGAAGGTTGTGTCCAGCAATGACAGCCACCGACTGCGGCTGGACGAGGATTTGAATTCCTGTGAGATCAATTCAGAAAACAGCAACTAAACCTATGACTGCAAAGACTTAAGACTATATCTGCACATAATCTATGCCAGACGTTTCAGCAGAATTTGAATGCACGTCATTTGAAAGTTGCGTATTACACTAATGCTTTCAGTTACAAAAAAAAGAGTACAAGTAAAGGTGCAGAAATATTTACTGTTGTTCTACTAGCAGGCAAAAAATCAGCAATTTTGTGTGAAAAATTTACATGCAGATTTTCGCAAAAAGTACAAATTGGTCACACAAACTCGCCAGACTGGCTAGCAGAAAGCTGGCTGGTTTTAAAGTGACTTTTGTGTGAGCTGTGCACATTAATATTTTAATATTGATAACCGCACATATTTTCATATTAATACATTTTAGCATTTTTAAATCCATTACACAGAGTTCATATTTTCTTTGACAGTTGGTACAGGAAAAAATGTGCACATTTTGCATGGGCCTAAGAGAAATATCACTTCTCCAAGCCTGTGTCACAGTCATGTTTCAGTTTCGCTTTCACATTTGTGAATTAATACTTAGAACAGAGCATTTACAAAACAATCAACATTAGATAATGTGATGCACTGTTGAAACATACACGCTTTCTGTACCATGTTTACACTGAGGCTGCTGTACCTGGAGGTTTCAGACACTGCAGGGCATCCGTATGACCCACGATCTGTAGAAACTCCACCAGTTCACCCACCATACATCCTTGATCTCCAATGAGTTTGAGCAGACTGCGGGAAGGACTTCCATCCGCCTCCAAAGCCTTCAGAGAACACATGTCCATATCATCGAGACTGTGCATGTGAGTGGAAGGAGACAGTAGGGAAAAGACTGTGAGTTTATTAGTATACATTACATTAAAAGAAAGAGAGAAAAAGTTATTACCTCACTTTGAATCGCTTGTCACTTTTCACAATCTCCCCCAGTTTTCGCCATCCCTTATTGTTGGCCTTGTCAAGAGACTCACAGAGCCTCTTCAACACAGATTCTTTCAAGAAATTTATGTTCAAAGAGTTGTCATTCAAATCCGACATGATTGAGGAAAACGGCTGATACACAACTGTGATTGGTTGAGCTCAGATTTAAATGTTCAGCAAAGCACCTGCAAAATGGGACATTGAAGTGGCAATTCAATCAGTGTCCTGAGGTGTCACGTTAAAAAATA